AGGGGGCCCATGGCAGTCCTATGCTAGGGTTAGTGGGTTGAGGGGTTTGGGGCTGGGGTGTCGGAGTTGAGGGGTTCGCAAGTTTCAAAGGAACTTGTGGCAGCATGTAACGGTGAGATTGCACCGCTTTATCCCCAACCCCAATGGAACCCTTGCATAACGCCAGCTGCAAAGCAAGCGCCTCTCCTTGACACACGAATATTGACATGCATATTTGTAGGGGACTGCTTTTGGGTTTTGAGGCGTCCATTTGGGTTTCAGGGATGATGGTCTGAGACCCAAGCATTTCACCAGCCAAACAGAATTTCGAAATGCAATTTTTGTGGGTTGAAGACCAGAAACTTGAACAGGGTTTCCATATGGGGTCCGACCATGGATTCCCACAAACCCTAGAGCTCAAATCTTAAAGTTTGTAACAGGAACATTAATCCACAATTGGGATTTGGTGTTTCAGATAGCCGCCCCTTCGTCAATCAACTCTGTAGACTTTGGGGGTAAATTATGACACGAATTTGAGGCATGCCCAAATTTGTTGTTGGGAGCCAAGGCTACTTCAGCTCGCTTTGCGGCTGCGTCAACGCCTTCCGCAACGACCAAGGAGCCGTGTTCACTGCTGAGGAGGCCGTAGCATACCCTGACCTCAAAGGTAAGGCAAATCGTCGCTCCAAAAAGTATGATTAAAAGGGCCAACCAAGCTACGGTTCTACCTGCTCCTGGGGTTCAGATAGCTACCGCTTAGCTACCATTCTTCTCATGTTTGTTCTGAACATGACACGCCAACGATTAGAGTGATTAGAGCATGCTGTCGCGTGTCGCCTTCGACAGGAAGCTCCTACCACGACATCACAACCTAGAATGTGGAGAGCTAGCTTCCTCGCACCGTGCTAGTGTTTGCATCCTGGTTGTCCCGCACGCGCATGCCCACAGCATGAAATCGAATCCGCAGCAGTTCGCAGAAGCGTTCGAGCATGACTTGGTGTCTTCTGACAGCATGGCCAGGTGTCAGCACAAGCCAGCGGTGCTGGGGCGTGCCATGACTGACTAGCACGAGAGCTCCTAGCGCCCCCACCCCCACCTTAGTCAATCTCCTTAGAATATTTGATATCATTTCTTCTTCAGACTCAAAAGATAGCAGGGCGACTCCTGGGGTTTAGCTTGCACGAGTGAAGACATGTTAAGGCTGCTTGCCAGGGAAGGTTGATCGATGTTTGTACTGGCATATCCAAAGGAATTTCAAAGAGCTGTCAATTGGAATTCTGGGATTCTTGAGACCATATTGGACTGTGCACCTCAACCGGGCACATGCAGTGACCTGAACCCTTGGCATCCGAAACTTGGAGGCGCTCAACTGAAAAGAATATGCAAATCAGACGATGTTAGCTACTCGGTTTCTCTACTAGTACTAATCGCGATACTAGTAGGAATAGTAATAATCGTAACAATAGTAACAATAGTAACAATATTGCTAATAGTAGTAGTAACGATATGTTGCAGCCTTGGCACCCCAGACTTCACCAGGCGCTAACAAGCAGTGTTCTGGATTTCGTATACCATGCCTTCGACCAGGAATTCTGATTGCAGCCAAGTTCGCTACTCCTACATGAGGCATGGTTGAACAATGTTGAACGTAAAGTTGCCTGGGGTCCTCAAAACACGTCCTCTTTATATATATATATATCCGTTAATGCAGTGCAAGTATACATATTGGAGGCTTCTGAAAATTAGGGGCCCTCATTTAGGTCCTTAGAATAACAGTTCGGATAAGTTTTATAGTATATAGGCGTCCATATTGGACCCCCAGATTTATGCACATAGACCTTTCAATAACTCTGTGAAGCTAATCCAATGAACATCAATGAACCTTGGAACGTGGTAAGCCCTAGACAGAGAGCTCTAGCCTCAGGTCGCTGATTTTTAGCCTGCAGTGAACCCTAAACTCCAAAACCCTACACCATAAACCCTGAACCCTACACCTTAAACCCTAAACCTTATAAACCCTAAATAGTAGTTTCCATATTCTTCTCCATCATCCCAAGAGGAACCCCTTTTTTTGTCCAGCCCAGGTTTCTGAGTCCAAGCTACACCTCGGAGGCGCAGCGGGGAGAGCGAGAGCAGCTGCCCGGCGGCTATAGGGCGAGTGGGGGTGGTTCTGAATGTTGCAGTAGGTTTTTTTTGGGGGGTGGGCTTCCCATAACAAGCATGGCAGTACATTGAGTTCAATTTACGGAAAATCCCATTGGGTTTCTGAATGTTGTAGGGGAGTTTGCATGATAAGCAGCGTACTATTTGAGGTACGCAAAGTGGTATGGGGAGGGCCTGTATGATAAGGATATGCAAGGATCTTATGTTGAGGCGTTGCATTTTCCGAAAAACGTATCAGGCTTTGGTGGGCGGAAAAAGGTCCCTTCCGAATATTGGCGAGTGTGTGTGTGTGTGCCAATATTCACACAAACATGCATGCATGCACGCGTGCATACATACACACATACATACACACAATCATACTTGTATCTATGAATATACATTTGCATTGACATGCCGCGTTGTTTCTTTCATGTATCTTACTTGAATCAAGATTGCATGTCCTATCCTGTGCAGGAAAGGCTCACGTAGGGTTGATGAAAGGCTTCTCTGGGAGTGCTTTTCCAACACGACATCCTCATACCCCGTCCTTAGTACCAAGTCAATGGCAAGTTTGGGGTTAATTCCCTTTGGGCGCGTGATTGCCAAGGACCCTACTTTCTTGTGGTCAGTAATTAAGGTATTTACTAGAATTGAGATCATTTTGGTACAAACACGCCCAAAAATGTTGCTGAATTGCTAACTCCATGCATGCTTGCTCCCTGGGCTCTTGATCCTTAACCCTAGTTATGCTTACCGGGGTTCTGTACTTGTAGGGAGACAAGGAATATCATCCCTATATAGCACCTATAGTTTATATTCCCTTAGTCTCGACTCACCACAAGTAAGTATGCCTTGAGGTATGCTGAAGCTCGCTGCATGGGAGTGCTTGGCCTCCACGGAGGCAGCTGATGCAAAATGGGCCCTTGTTTTGTCAGATGGTTATAGAGGGGTTATGTCGCAGTTCTATACAGTGAAGAAATAATGGAAGAGAAAATGGTAACTATTATACTATGATGCTTCAGGGGCTAAGAAGGACACCACTACCGTGACATCAAGAATGAGATGAAAGTAGCCCTCAGTAGTGGCTAATGGCGGGAGTGGTGGTGTCGCAGATATTTATTGTAATACTCGGGTGAGGCAGCTGGCCAGTTCTACAGAAATCCCAAAACATGGAGCTTCATGTACCTTACGCCTCATGACGCGCAACATGAGCACTTCAGAATTCAGCAGGTCACCTGGAGTGTGAAGCTTGAATACCTGTTGCTGAGTCTGCAATGTCACATTATGAATCCTGCAAAAGGCTGCTCACCAACCGGGTTGCATGGATGGCTTCTGCACAGCAAGTTGTGAGATTGGCGCCGAAGCTCAAGTCGCTGCTGCAGATGCGCTGCGCTGCGTATGGCATTCTTGACGTAACTATAAGCCGGTAGAGTTGCACCAGATGGGCAGGAGACCTTCATCCAACACAACTTGGCGCTGCCACGGGCCCTTGCTGCACCAGTATGCTGATCAGCTGCAAATCAGGCTAATGCCCCGGCAGATTCTTGCACAAGCAATGTAACAACCTCTCTGTTCTCTGCCTAAGGCTGACAAGTGCATTCCTGGCAATGGCCGATGCGCAGGGCGTGGTCACTGCGGCATGACTTTGGCAATCCACCCGCTTCCTGTTTTTACGGTGAGCCTCCTTGCGATAACATCCCATGACTGCAGCAGCCAGTGGTTTAACATGGAATACATGAACGGCCGTTAAGTCCTTGCCATGAGCCCGTCTTCGGCTCTTGTGCCACAGTCAGGAGCTTTGGTTCTTGTAAGTATGTCTTTCTTGCTCTGCCTTTTTGGTAAGAGGTCTCCAGGCAAGCTGAGGTGAAGTTCCAACGTTCCGGGGTGCTGCTTGTGCTGCATCTGAACCGCGACTCCCCGGAAGTGCGCTATGAGTCGCTGGGTGTGAGAGAAGCCAAGATCAGTATTTGTGGGCGTACAATGCTCAGATGACAAGCTGGTTGAAGTTTTAGTTGTCCTGCTAATTTTATCTGACAGACTTAAGATAGCTGATTTTGCTAAGTGCTTGTACTGTGCTGTGTTCTGGCGCTTCAGTTCACATGTCCGCGTTCCGGGCTGCAAAGGCTCTACTGGAATGGAAACGCGGCCCCCTTCGATGCTGGGTCTGGGCTCGTTGATGGCGATTCCGTATACCTTGTGAATGTCGGAGGCACTTCAAAAGAAGAGTACCTCAGAGCGCAAGAGAAGAATGAGCATAACCACCACCACAACCACTAGCACCACCAGCAGTACCAGCAGCATCAGCAGCACCAGCAGCAGCAGCAGCAGCAGCAGCAGCAGCAGCAGCACCAGCACCAGCACCAGCACCACCACAACCACAACCACAACCACAACAACAACCACAACCACAACCACAACCAACACCAC